TTTTCACATGTAATCAAGTGACTGGGAAAGCATGTCTCTCAGCTCCTCAGGAACAGGGGTGGATCAAGTACAATTTTATTTGTATGAAGATTGTATTCAAATACATTTTCAAGGTATTTACGTTTGTTTTTGTGTTTTGGGTACCTGAAAGAAAAAGTATTTATATCTGGATTTCCAGAGTTGAGACCACTTGGGCTGGGCAAGTGCTCGCAGGCCATACAGGAATATTTGAAGATTCCTATGTTACTGTGCAACATATGCATCTTCTGAGAGAGTATTTAGCAAAGGCTGCTGCTTTTACGCTCATTACCAAGCAAAAGCAAATCTGGAAATTTTCCGGGTAGAAATTCTGATAAAATGCAATTATGGTATGGGAATGTAAACTTGTGTGAAAAAAAAGAATGTATTTTTACGTAATTTCAAAAGTATTTGTATTTATGGTTTTGGAATCACAAAAAAATACATATGTATATATTAGAACAGTATTTGTATTTGTTGCTTTAATATTTGTATTTGCCTTTGACTTTTAAATAGATTGTACTTGATCTCAGGAAAGACATCAGCTCCCTCCATACACCAACTTTCTCTGATATGTCTACACTTTTATAATGTTTAGTTGTGACCCATTTTTATGAAACGGTTGAAAGAGCATTTATATAGTTTATTTTTCTTATTTCTGTTGCCAATATTTTTTAAAGGCAGTAGATAAAATGTGAGAGTTCTATGATATTCAGGATGAGACACTTTTCATTTAGTTTTTAATGAATGGATATGGAATGCTCATATATTTTCTCTTTGATTTAAACAGAATGCATAATTTTGCTCTAGATGAAAGGTATACATTTACATTATGACCCATTTTTATGCAGCTACAAAAGTTGATATAAGTGTTTAGTTTTGTTCATTTAGTTTGGGTGTTGTCATACTAGACATATATAGTAGATAAAATGTGAGAGTTCTATGATATTCAGGATGAGACACTTTTCATTTAGTTTTTAATGAATGGATATGGAATGCTCATATATTTTCTCTTTGATTTAAACAGAATGCATAATTTTGCTCTAGATGAAAGACATACTTTTACATTATGACCCATTTTTATGAAACGGTTGAAATTGGGTGATGAAGCTGTGTGTAATAAAAATCACTTATCACTAAGATAATTGTAGTAGCTAAGGCAACAAACTAGATGTAAATTAATTCTATAATAGACAAGAAAAAATGCTTACTTTAAATGAGTAAATACTGAATATTTTTTATAAAATATAATTATATTCTTTTCACCCTGATTTTAATTTAGAGTCTCAGACCAAGGATTGTTAACTATGTCCCATTTTTATGCAGCTACAAAAGTTGATATACATGTTTAGTTTTGTTCATATAGTTTGGGTGTTGTCTTACTACATTTATTATCATTAAGCCAGTTGTTGCCAATATTTTTTAAAGGCAGTAGATGAAATGGGAGAGTTCTATGATATTCAATATTTTTATTTATTTTTATTTAGTTTTAATGAATGGATATGGAATGCTCATATATTTTCTCTTTGATTTAAACAGAATCCATAATTTTGCTCTAGATGAAAGACATACTTTTACATTATGACCCATTTTTATGCAGCAAAAGAGCACTTATATAGATCCATTATTTTAAACACAATATGTCATCATAATGTGTAGTTTAGTTGTTCCAACTTTTTTGCTGTGATGAACTTAAATGTTCACAGGTAGTTTATGTAAAGGTTTTGTTGGATGGATACAAAATATTCATATATAGAAGTAGTTCTTATGTTTTATTTACTTTTTATTTACTTAAGTACACTTACCATTAAATCAGGGGATGTAACAATTTTGTTATAGCAACATGCAATGCTCAGTGATTCTGAAATAATTTTCAGTGGATGAATTTGGAATATTCATATAATTTTATTTTCTGGTCTGGTATACAATTTATTTTATTAGGCCAAGGAAATGGTGTTTTGTCCATTTTTATGCAACAAAATGGATCATGATTTCAGTTATTTAATTTTTAATGTATGTATTATAATTTCATAATGATAAGATATAATCAATGAGTTCATCATTCTTGCAATCATAATAATAATTTTTTTTTTTTCATAATGAAATGTAGTTTTGTTTCAGACTTAGGATACACAGATGAGTTGTGACATATATTTTTATAATGAAAAAAAACATTGTTATTTAATTTTTATTAGCTTTACCCCCTAATTCCTTGCTTGTTGTAGGGGGGCTTAGGGGACGGAGACTGGGCCCCAATGTGGGTATCATCTTGGCCCTCGCCTC